CTTTGATAAGGGTTTAGCCAACTTTCTGGATGGTCAGAGAACCAGGCTTACATGACCATGTCATGGCTAGTCCAGGAGTAGGTGAAAACCAAGGAGAGGGGCCTTCACGAACCTTTCATTAGATTTCTTACGTAGAGGCAGGTAGACGTTCTGTCTGCCAGTGATAGCGTTGATGAGAACATCAAGAGTAGGTCTGAAAATATGAAGACTGAGCAGGTCAGATGAAACCAAAACTTGAATCAGAGTGCTCTGTGCATTTATATATACAAAAGACCCATTAAGCAGATAAGCCTGGAAACGTCCAGCAGGCCAACACAGTGGAAGCAAAGGACTTCAGATATCTGTCCTACATCTCTATCAGGAAAGAAACCACTGCCAAACATGTACAGATACATACTTGCCAAGTTCCGATGGGCCCTGTACTCCATTGCTTGTTTACTGTCTCCCTCTCATGGCCGGACATACAAGAAACATCTGACTTATATGGGGATGTCTCCCGGCCAGCAGACTGAGGTAGACAAGCCCCATGGAAGTTAATGGAGATACGCAATGTATTACGCAGGCGCAGCGTGGAAAGGGAGACTTTTGCCAAATTAAACGTCTGTGCAGGGTGAGAGTGGGATTGGTTAGATCAGCTTAAAGGGGCCAAAAGGATGAGTGCACTTTGTTTTAAAATGCAATCATCCTTTAAAAATATTCTCCAAAAGCCACAGAAGACCCATCCATTAATACAGGGGTGCCCATTAGGTAGATCGTGATCTACCAGTAGCTCTCAAAGCTGATGCTGGTAGATCAGGAAGGGTGTGAATGGCGGCCCCTTTATTCCATTTTAATATATTTATTTAGCTGTGCACACATAATTACCCATTAGCCTGAGTCTGCTGAGCCAAGCTCCCCGACACCTTTCTGGTGGATACTGGTGGTTGAAGTGCTATGTATAACATCAAAGATTAGTTTACACAGCCTGTTGCAAAATACGGGGAGAGAGAGAAGAGAGCCAGCCAAGAGAGCCAGCCAAGAGAGAAAATGAGGAATGGACAGCCAGGGGAGAGAGGAGAGACAGCCAGCAGGATGAGCCAGGAGGATGGGCAAGGAGAGAGAGAGCCAGGAGGATGGGCAAGGAGAGAGAGAGCCAGGAGGATGGGCAAGGAGAGAGAGAGCCAGGAGGATGGGCAAGGAGAGAGAGAGCCAGGAGGATGGGCAAGGAGAGAGAGAGCCAGGAGGATGGGCAAGGAGAGAGAGAGCCAGGAGGATGGGCAAGGAGAGAGAGAGCCAGGAGGATGGGCAAGGAGAGAGAGAGCCAGGAGGATGGGCAAGGAGAGAGAGAGCCAGGAGGATGGGCAAGGAGAGAGAGCCAGGAGGATGAGCAAGGAGAGAGAGCCAGGAGGATGAGCAAGGAGAGAGAGCCAGGAGGATGAGCAAGGGAGGTTTTTTTTTTCCGTTGGTAGATCTCATGTAGATCGTCATTTGAAAAGTAGATATTAATACAAAAAATTGTGGGCACCCCTGCATTAATATGTCCCAAAAGACTACAAAACCATAGGATTACATTGAAAAAAAATGTGACAATCATCACTGTGTTGCACATAGCCTATGCAGAAAACAGAGCAGTGGGAAGGTCCCAGCAGGAAGATTTAGAGAGATTTAATCATAATTCCTGTCCTGCTGACAATATTTTACCAGACAGAAAGGGGAACTCTCCAAAAAGGAACACAGACAGAAATAAAAAATGTTTTTCTTAAGTAGAGTAGGGGGAAAGCTAGAAGCACTGAGGGATATCAATTTCTAAATCTATTGCACACGATCCCTCTCTTCCGGTCTGAAAAAACAATGGCAGCAGGAGAGGAAGTAATGTGCAATCTAACAGTCTCCGATAACAGTAATAACCAGAAAGGAGTTTCAATCTTTCCCCACTCCATCCAAAACTAGAAAAAAAAAAAAAGTTTTTGGCTTAACATACTCTTTTTTAAATAAGTGTATTTCAAAAACACTCTATAACAAAAACAAAATGAATATGAATGTCTAATGAAATATTTTTATTACACATAATACCGTATGAACATAAAAGTACACAGAAAACTGCAGGGTATGCACACTCCTAAAATACGGAAGACACTGGCAAACTATATCGGGAGAGATTTGCCTTTATTTTCAGTGGGTACTTCATATTTTCGCAGTTACCCTGAGGTTTAAAAAAAACAAAAAAAAAAAAAACGGACTGGTTATAACAAACAAAAAACAAACCACAATCCTTTCTACTTCGATTGGCCAAAAGGTTACCAAAATCCCACCACATCTTATTGGCTTCTAGAAAGAACTTGGCACAGAGGTATGTAGGTAAGAAATATTTGCCAAGCAATACATTTTGCTAGCGGAGCATTAAGTCCCAAAAAGCAGCAAAGATGAAGAGGCTAGCTTCATTCACAAAGTAATCCTTAAAGAGGAGCTCCTGGATAAACAAAAACATTTCTGATGGAAGAGCTAATCTTTAAATACAACAATGTTTTTTCCATTTTTGAAGCTGGGAGGGAATATACAAGATGAGTTCATCTCTTTAACAGTCAATTATGGTTTAAAACAGTGGTTCTCAACCCGTGTAACCTCGGGACCCACATGTTTCCTTGGTCATTAAGGCGTGACCCAAAAATGATTTCATTTCTGAAACATTTAAATTTATTACACAAAACAACTTGTGCAGTAATCAGCA